CTCTGCTCTGCCTTCGCACTCTCTCATCTCTGCTCTCACTCACTCTCTCTCTCTCTTTGCACTCTTTCACCTCCGCCTCTGCCTTCGCACTCTCTCATCTCTGCTCTCACTCTCACTCTCTCTCTCTCTCTCTTCGCACTCTTTCATCTCCGCCTCCGCCTTCGTCACCGATCCCACCGACGACAACCCCACCTCTGTCGTTGACTCCAACGATGACCACCACGACCCCCAATCGCCCCCAAACCCCAACCTCAACCTCCACAACAACCACCCATTCTCCTCCCCCCCGGAGCCGGCGCCGCGCTCGCCTCCGTCTCTGTTCCACGTCTGCTTCAACCAAGACCACCCCTGCTTCGCCGTGGGGACAGACCACGGGTTTCGGATCTACAACTGTGATCCGTTCCGCGAGCTCTTTCGCCGCGACTTCGACAACGGCGGCGGAATCGGCGTCGTTGAGGCGCAGATCTTAGGTCTGAGTCTGCAATAGATCTGGGTAGTGCGACGACGCAGCCTCTGCTGCCTTTCCGACGAGATTTTTTCGATAATATCGAAGATATCGCGATATTTTTGATATTATCGATAATATCACGATATTTTGACGAAAACATTTGGATACCTATTTAAATATCCATTGTGCGAAAAACCGATAATATCGGCGATATTTCGCCGATATTATCGGCATTTTCTTCCATGGTTGCAAGCAACTGAAAGTATGAAAATATCAGTTAATTGCTACTGAACAATAGGACTCATGATTGACATCTAGTTCGACATAAATGAAACGAAATATTTTAATGATTTTCAGTTGCTAGTCACTGAATCGTTACATAGTTTCGAATTGGTTGCTAGTGAATAGTTTTCCTAATGGTCGGAAGGTTTTTCACTCATAACACATTGAGGACGACTTGGTGCCGCCAAGATTTTCTCTAGGTGGTTTAGCCTCTAGTTTAGAGAAAGCACAAAGCATAACTAAAGTAAAAGACAATCAAGGCCAAGGAGCATAAAAACCCAAAAGTTAGTCTGTCTAAAAATATGATGTAAGGAAAGGAAGAGAAATCACTAGCTAAGCTTAAACTGTTCCTACAAATTGTTCTAATTCACCAAAGGCATCAATCATCAATAAAGAAGACAATCAAAGAGAATTTTGAAATCACCCTCCACAATAAGTCTCTGATAGCCACCATGTTTAGTATGAATAAGGCCCAATTTGAGAACAGCCGTTTGCTTGTTAGTCTTTTTGGGCAAGTAAGAGCTTTGATCACCCTTCAAAAATTTGCTCTTGTCATCAAATTTGCATGTGACAAGTCCACACTACCCTTCATTAATCAAAAAGGGGGCAACGACGCCTTCACGAGATCCAACGACACCCCTTGACTTTATTTATCAGGAAGGGAACACCAATTACCCTCCCTAGACCAAGATTCAACACTAGGATCGTGTTGGATCAACTCAAATGTTCTTAATCATCCTAGGGCCTAAGATAGTACCACTATAGAATGCAAAGCTTTCGTTAGTAGTACTATACATTCTCGCTTAAAGAACTGTTTAACACAATTAGTGGGAGTATCATATGCTACTAAATCAATCATATGGACGGATAGTTGTAATAAGATCAAATTATTTTAAAGAGATTAAAATGCTTATTTGTATGTGATGAGACCAAAAACCACTCAACCAAGCTAACTTTAAGTTGACAAGCATGAGGGTGTTTAGAACACTCTTCCGTGGCCTTTTACCATGGTAGGCTCCAATCGTTCATGACTAATACACCGTCTTCACTCTATTATGGGGAAGTTCAATGTATGTGCTTACACACAGAAGGTGTTCTATGTACATACATGATGATGTGAAAGGCAACAAGCGTGGCCAACACCATATTATTGTTAGGTCAGTCTCGAACCCCTATACAAATTAAGCATGGCAAGAACAACTTAAGTGCAATGTCACCAACATTAAATTCTTGTAAGGTGACATTCTCTAAAGGCTATAAAATGAAAAATTACAAGAGTTGTAAATGAGCAAGAGTTACTCTCTCGTCATTATTAATGCTGGGCAACATCATATTATTGCGTGGTAGGTTTGGTAATGATGAACCTTTCATACTCCGCTAAGAGTTTTCTCCAAAACTCTCGAATTTCAATTGAGGGACATGAAATTTGTCAAAATAGTGGGCTGTACTATTTGATTTAAAGACCCTGATCAAGTAGCTATAAAATCAATCTAAATTATATTTGTTATATAATTTATAATTACCATAGATTTGCAAACACGTTATTCCTTACACCTTCCTATTGATAATGTATCCATGGAAGAATATGTTGAATATGTCTAACTCGAAGAGTTTCCGTTCGTAACCATCAAAGGGTTGCATCATGTTACATAATCTTCGAACGTTTGTTTTTCGTGATTTTTGGTGTATGCAATATCAGAGTATATGCAAACAAGTTTGACTGTTAGATCATTAAAATTAGTTTCGTAGATTGTGTATCCCGTGAAAACAATAGATTCAACAAACACTTAGAGTTTATTCTAAACTTTCATTAATTAGAATGTAAGATCTTGTGGTATCCACTAGTGTAAATATTTTAAATTGATTATCGGGTTTGTTCATTGTGTTCTTCTGAGTCAAGGAGTGTACTCATGAAAAATCATCAAAATCGAAGCTAAAATAACTGTTAAATCGTGATTTTTTATTTCTAACCGTCAAAGGATTTCATCCCGTTACCTAATCCTCTATAGTTTTTCTTGGGTGATTGTTGGCGTAAGTGATCTTGAAGTATATACAAACAAATTTGGCAGTTGGATTGTTGAAATTAATTTTATAGACTACAAAAATCATCAAAGGAATTAAATATGCCAATCATGTCTCTCATTTTGCCCGACTAAATATAAACCTTAAACCCTAAAGTACACCTTTTAGTGGCAAAACCTGAATGGTTTCGTTGTTCAAAGAATGTCATATTACACCCCAAGTTTTTTCCTTCACATGAACACTTTAACAGACGAAGTATACTTTGCCCATCAAATTCTGTACGTCAGGCAAAAGCCTCTGAAGAAACCAAAACATTGACCAGTTTTGGCTGACGAATCATTGTATTCCGTAATACTCTTTATCGAATGAATTATAGTTTGTTGAGCAAAATATTGTTGACCAAATGATAATTTATGGTAGTGCAAGGATATATTTATACTAAGAAGTCAGGAGAATATTTGGTTTTAAACTCGTTAGATATTTGAATTTAAAACTTCTCACTTACAAGTAGACCTGGCATTCGTGTCGTATTTTTCGTGTTCATGTCATTTTCGTGACATACTGATATCTTAACGGGTCATGTCATGTAACACCTGTTAAAGTAAACGGGTAAAATGACCCGACCCGAAATTGACCCATTACCCATTAAAGAATATATATTTTAAATCAATAAATAATGAACATGAAAAACATAATTTGACCCAAAAAATGGATAACATAATACTGAATTAGTATATGCATACCACATTGTCATATAAATATTACTTCAAAACAAAAAAAAGACATTTGTCTTTCAAGTATTACATACCCCAAAGTAAGAGCCTAATGAAAAAACATTAGTACATTACTAATATACCAAATGTTCAAGAATATGCAAAATGAAAGGAGTTGCGTTTCAAGGTTGAGGTTGAGGAATCTTACACGTTTTTGACAATAAAACCTTTCAATTTTCATCAATCACCAAGGGAATGGTATTTGAACTTTGGCTTGATATATTAGTTTTGCACTCAAAATACTATTCATGAGATTTGGAGGGTTTTAAAACTCTAAACGACCATGTAACCATCTTCTAAGTGTAGATGATGCAATTAAGAGCGTTTATATATGCTTTCACAATTTTCAGATGGATGTTATCTATTTTGAACTCTCTTAAATATTATTCATGAGGGTTTGTATGGTTTTTAAAGTTCAAAACGACAATGTACCCCTCCTCAAAGCGTACAGGATGTGATTACGAGTGTTTGCATTTTTTTTCACATTTTTTTGCACTTGTAAATTAATTATTATGATTTTTTAATGTGTTGGTATTTTTAAATCAGTTGATATTTTTATTTTTAATGTGTTTTATAATTTCTAATCTCACTCTTTGTCCATAGTATACTATAAAAATATATAAATAAATAAAATTTAAAAATTTTAAATTTATATAGAATAATAATACAATAATAGATATTTAATATACAATATATACATATACACTATGACTATTGTATTTCACAGTAAGTTTTTTTAGTAGTTTAAAAAATAAAAATCATCAATATAACATTTTCCTTAACATGTCAAAATAGATTACCAGTGTGTCATCCTTGTGTAAATCTGTTAAGGACTCGTTATTCGTGTGACCCGATAACTACCTGATTAGTTATCGTGCTGACCAGAAACTCGTTATTTTTGTATCGTTTACGTATCGTGTTAAAGGGTCGTGTAAGAAATTACCAAATCTACTCACAAATGATGCAAAATACCATTAAATCATAACATTAAGTGGCAATTAACTTTGGATTAAAAATGACTCAATTTTTTTAAGAGGACCCGCAAAAGACCTCCAGAATCTCATAACCGGTCTTGATGCCAGTTTGACATATTGGTTTATAGATGCTCTTAGACCCAAATTTAATACAACCCTATAATTATTGCATGCAAGATGTATATAATAGAAGAGAATCCATGCAGACGCTGACATTGCTAGAGTGAACTCTTCTCTATGAATTTGAGTTGGAATTCCCCCTTCTCTAAAATTTGATTAGTTTAAAAAAGAATACCTCTTTTACTTTGGAAAAAGATTTAATTTGATTTTAGATATATGTTTATTATATGCCTACCTAATGTTGTACTTTAAGTGGGATACATCCATCACAGCAGTCATACGATTTATAACCCAAAACCGAAACAACAGAAGCAAATATGTAGAGTAGTAAATCATGATGTTCCCCCCCAAAAAAATATCAATTACGGCAGACAAGACGCATATTAAAATCTCATTGGCTTAAGTTTTATAAAAGCAAATAAAGTTGATGACAAACCGCATATAATGCATAGAAAGACAAGACAGTCCGACAAGTCAAAGATGACACCAAGATTTTGTTGTAGCTACTGTAACAGTGCGATTTTATATAAATTATACATGTGACACGCACTGTTGAAATCTTCTCTTTTTCTTTCTCTGAGATCGTAGTTTGATCTTCTAAATCAAGAGTTTTCCCTCCCTTGTGTGTGTTTCCTTTTATTTGACTACACAAACCCTAAAGAATGGAGGGGACGAGAAAGCGAACGACGGAGCGATCGAGCAGATTAATAATGGGTAGTGAGTAGTAAAGGATTTGGATTATCACTTGGACTATGAGGAGTTGGATAATCAAGAGGTGGCAATGCAATAAGGCTCCCAAAATAGAAGAGATCTTCTAGGCTCTTTGCAACCCTTTGAAAAGGGGAGCAAATGATCCCCTTTGTTCCCTCTCAAGACAAGCAATTGTTGCCGCTCATTTGCCAACTGATTCTTGGACATAAAGCCATTGTTTTTTAGGGACTGCGACGTTGGTGGCGGAAGAGGGTTGAGAGCGGCAGTCGTAGGCTTGGTGCGCCAATAGTACTCGTAAGCGTTGAAAGAGGCTGCTGCTGCCGCTGTTTTTGTGGTGGCCAGTGGCTTAGGTATCAACCGAGCCAGGCGGCCAGGCCGTGGAGGGAGTGACTTTGCAATTGGGGTTGGTTCCACTACTTCAACCTCCTCTTCATCTCCTCCATATTTCACTACTTCATTGAACTTGTTAGTCCACCCATGAGTCTTATTGGCTAACCCAATCGGCTTATTCATCATTAATGCTAAACTGTGAACATTTGCCACTCTACTTGTCAATTTCTCAACCTCATCACTTTCTTTCTCCTCGTCCTGATCCTCATCAACATCAACATCAACATCATCACCATCACTTTTTTCGCTTTCTTTTTCCTCCTCTCCTTCCTCAAAGTTCACATTCTCCTCGAATTCTTCCTCTCTAAATTTGTCTTCTTCATCAGCAACCTCTTCACACTTAGGCGCCTCGCAAGAGCTAGGAGTAGCATTGAGAAATGTGAGGACAAGGCGACCATCATGGCGTTCGGCACGGAAGTTATTTGGAGAAGGTATAGACACCGCTTCAAGGACTAGTCGCCCGTTGTCGCGATGAGTCCTCATGTGAACAGATACCCCATCACATCCTGATAAAGACGAAAGAGGTGGAGGGGAAGATCGAGCTGAAGGCAATTTCTTACTAGCAGCAGAGTTGTATTTGACAGCTCGGAATTCGTTCTCATCAAATGCTTTTGACCGCTGAGGTTTCTCTTTTTCTTTTTCTTCTTGTTGCTGAACCACGGCTTGGTCTTCTTGCTGATCTTTCTCCACTACTTCTATGTCACTGGTCTCGGAAGTAGGGTATGAAGAAAACCCTTCAGAGCCAGTCTCGGATCCAAGACTTTCAGTGCAAACTTCAAGACTCTTCTTAGTCAAAGCGCTCGATTGTTTCTTCACAAGAGGATGAACATAAGGCGCTGCAGTAGCCACTTTGCTCGCCTCTTTTTCGTTGGCCTTTTGACATACAATCGAGCTCCAAAGATCGGCTTGTCCCGGCTGCTGCTTTGCAGCTTCGGCTTTGTTTTTTTGCCTTTGAGCTTGCTCATCAATTGAGCTCCAAGTATGGAATTTGGCCTTCCTTTGATCTTGGTAATGATCTTCGTCTTCGGACGATGAAGATGAATTGTCCCGCATGTCTGCGGATCCGCAGAGTTCTTCGGATGACGCAATCTTCTTCATGGGAGAGAAACCATTTTGAGCCAGCCATCTCTTGGACGACATGTCCGCGGACAGTGTTCGCCGCAAGGAAGCGGCTTTGGTTCTTTCAGAGTCTGACGGACCGAGAACGGTGACGATCCCTTGCTTCTCAGTGACCACCTCTTGCTCCATAGTCTTCTTCATCATGAAAAGAGAAGATGGCGAGCGAGTTAGGCTCTTGCTCAGAGAACCTATCTCCCTGAATCAGCTAAGATTCGAAGGAGCTTGTGCGAGTGTTAGCTGCGAATATAGAAAGATGGAAGAAACAAGAGAAAATCAGAAAAACAAGTTGCTGAAGATTGCAACAAAATTTCAAGTTACAAAGCAAATTAAAGCATTCATGTGAATAAGAAAATACAAAACCAGCTGTGCTAGCTGTGTAATTTACCTGATCAGAGATTCAGAGAAACAAAGCATCCAACAGAGGTCTCTGGTGTAAAGAGAGACCACTGAAGGAGTAAAGGGTTGCGAGAGTAGCAGAGAATAATAGTAGAGAGAGAGAGAGAGGGAGGATGATGAAGGTGATGTTTGAGGATAAGTGGGTTGTGTGTGGGTGATGATGGCAAAACAGGGCGGAGGAATGTGGGTATTTGTAGGGAGCCAAAAAGGCTTGGAACCGTGTGCATTGGGACCCGCCTACACCACCAATGAAAAAGGCCCTTACGCATTTGGTTTTCAGTTCTGCTTAAAATTTTTATAAACTAAATAACATAGAAGTTAAGGATTAAATTATTAATTAAGCGTTGATAAATATGCTTGTTCTTAATGGTGACACATAATTTAGTTTACAAATTTAGTTTTCCTAACATTATTCTTTCAGAAAAAGTGGGTTGGATTAAAGAAAGAAAGAAAGAACAGTGAGGGAGAGAGACATAGAGTTTGGATTTCAAGAGGATGTCCTCAATTTGGGAAAGGGATCCTCTCTGGATCACTTCCTCGTAATCCACCAAATCAGTGGATCCGTGCCATTGAAATTTGATCCAACGACTACAAACAGGGATCCGGAGAAGATCATTTCCCTCAATTTGGTCCTTTATTAGCTTTCCTCTCCCTCGTCAAGTTATCGTTTTGCTCAAAATTAAGCAAGCTTAAGGTGGTCCAATAATCATTTAATTTTCAGTGTTAATTTTTATTTTTCATTTTATTTAAGAAAATACTTTCTTTTTTATTTTTTGGTAAAACGATAGAATTTGTTAGAACAGAGGCTCAAATGAGTTAGGGGTGAGGACCGGAGATCAGGAAGTATCAAACAGCGACCACTTTCGCTACCTAGGATTTATCTTGCAAAAGAATATAGAGTTGGACGGAGACCTTAACCATAGAATACAAGCTAGATGAATGAATTGGAAGAGTGCATCCGGTATGTTGTGCGATCATCGTATGCCACTAAAGCTCAAGGGAAAGTTTTATAGGACGACAGTAAGGCCATCAATGCTTTATGGTACATAATGTTGGGCGTTGAAGCATTAACACGTACATAAAATGAGTGTAGCAGAGATTAGAGTGCTTCGTTGGATGTGTGGGCACATGAGAAATGATAAGATTAGAAATGAAGATACCCGAGGTAAAGTAGGAGTAGCCGAAATTGAAGGAAAGCTGAGAGAAAATCAGTTATGGTGGTTTGGACATGTGAAACGAAGGCCTACAGATGCTCCGGTTAGAAGATGCGATTACGAGATAGTGGTTCGGGGCTGAAGGGGTAGAGGAAGACCTATGAATTCGGTTAGAAGATACGATTACGAGATAGAGGTTCGGGGCTGAAGGGGTAGAGGAAGATCTATGTAGACTTTGGAAGAGACTTTAAGAAAATACTTGGAGTACTTGGATCTAACGGAAGACGTGGCATAGAATCGAGTACAATGACGTTCTAGGATTCATAGAGTCGACCCCATTTAGTGAGATAAGGCTTTGTTGTTGTTGTTGTTGATAGAATTTGTTAGGTTAAATGTTAGATTAGCCACCAATGGGGTTTGAAACCATGCCGTCATGCAATGGCTCAACTCATTTCCACCACTGTGGTAAATGGTCACTTGCTGATATACTATTTAGAATTAGAAACTAATAATGTTGCTTATATACTCTTTATTAAGAGTGATGCTAAAACGACTAAATTTGCAGACAAAATTTTGTAAACTAAATGACATGTAAGTTGATGATTGGATTATTATTTAAGCGTTGATAAACATGCTCATTTCCTATTGGTAACACATAATTAGCTTGCAAATTTTGTCTACAAATTTTGTCTCTCTAACATTACTTATTTATTAATTAAGTGCTGCTATTGTATGTAAGAATTATTTATAAACTCTGTTGGTAATATAGTTAGTTTTGTGTAACTAAATAATATTACTTCTTTGTACAAAAATTCTTTATAAAATACCTCTCTGGACCAATTCAACTAATTATGTATCGTACCATGTTTTAAAAAAGTGATGGTCAAAATTAAGTATGTTTTAGCATAGGAGCACTCAAGTGCAAGCTAGTTAGTAACTTAATATGGCCTTAACTACGCGTTTGGGTCCAATCCACAATATTTTTCCATGATCTAGACCGTTCATATTATAGATCTTTATTCATAGATTATTATTACAAAATTTTGTCAAAATCGAAAAGTGTTTTATATCTAATTACGTAAAAATTTAAGGTTTACTCAAAACCTTTATGCGATGGACATTATCTAGGGCAAGGTGGAATTCGTCAGACAATGTTTTGGCACTAATAGGAAAAAGACGCGCTTAATATATAATGGTTTGGCAAACCAAACTGATGTTCGTCAGCTAGATTAACATTGCCCATCAGTTTGGTCTAGATTAACATTGCTCGACAGCCCAATTTGTCGTCCCAAGTTTTCTTCTTGTTAGGCAAAGGCTCACAATGACGTGTGTAAAAAATCCACCGGCAAAACCCTTGCTCGACGTTTTCTTTGTATTTACCAAACAAAATGTTTCGTCGGAAAACCTTATTCATCAAATAAGTACGTGATTTCCTCTTTCTCCCCTCTTCTTTTCTTTTTCTGCCCTCCCCGGCTGCTCTCTGTTGCAACCCTCCCTCCCTCACTCCCTGGTTGATTTCTGCTACAACCCTCTCTCTCTCTCTCTCTCTCTCTCTCTCTCTCTCTCTCTCTCTCTCTCTCTCTCTCTCTCTCTCTCTCTTCCAATTAATTTAAGGTTAGTTTCTTTTAATTTATTGAATAATTTTTTTATTTCTATGTGTAATCAATTAATTTTGATGATGTAGGTTTCTGATTGGATTGTAAGTAAATTAAAGAAAAGGTATGTATTTATCTCTTAATTATAAATTAAAGAAAAGGTATGTATTTGTCTCTAAGTTCATAGGCCCATTTATCTTATTATTTAGAAAAAATTAATTGAAGTTTTGCCCGACGAAATCCAAAAGATTTGTAGGGTAAAGGAGTCTTGCCTGACGGAAATCTAAACCTTCCGTTGGTTAAAGTCATTAGGGTTTAGGGCTTATAGTACATATTCATTCAGCGAACCGACCAAAATCCCTCCAGGCAAGTGTTTTGGCAAATTTCACAAATTCAATTCCTTTGAGGATTTTTACAGTCAGAGAAATTAATTTTCTCAATCCAGCTGCTAATATAGTTTGTATATACTATAAGATTGTATACACTAAAAATCATCACAAACAAACATTCGGAGATTAGGTAATGGTACGAAATCCTTTGACGATTAGAAACGAAAAATCAATATTTAACGGTTATATTAACTCCAATTTCAATGAATTTCTACAACTACACTCCCTCGACCCTAGAAGAATGGATCTGATCATGAATTAAAAATATTACAATAACAGTAATTACTACAAAATGATACATTACACCTAATAAAACTATAGAAAAAGTTGTGTTGGTTGAATCATTTGCATTGTGTGGATACGCACTCTACGAAATTAATTTTAACGATTCAACCCTTAAACTTGTTTAAATATAGTACGAGACCACATATGCAAAAAATCAACAAAATAAACTTTCAAGGAGTTGGGATTGAGGCAAAAGGTTGGATGGTTACAAACTTAACCTCATGATTTAACAGTTACATCACCTTTGTTTTAGGTGATTTTTTTCCAAAGATGCTAATTGAGGGTTAAAACCCACATTGAATACACCTGATCATCAAATTCGACGATAATTTAGCCATTGCAAAAGAAATTTCATTGGGGATTTTCAAATTGTTAGGCTTTGCCGCACGAAAATCATATATTTTGTAGGGCAAAGTAGACAAAATTTGTTGGGCAAAATAAAAGTTTTGTCAAGCAAGGCTTAAATTTCCCCCTCAATTTTTTTCTAGAAAAAATCAAAATTCCTTTCAAATTTTGGGTTTGCTCGACGAAATTCTTGGGTTCTCGTCGGGTGAACTGTATTTCCCACCAATTTTTCGACCAAAATTTTCAATTGGCAACTTTTTTTTCTTCTGAAACTCTTACCCAAGGTATAAAATATCGATGATATCGGAAATATCGGTAGTGCAAAAACACGGAAATTTTGATGGAAATATCGGGATATTATCGATATCGATAAAAATTGAATAAAAACCACGGAAATTGTAAGAAAAACTTAGAAATTTTTATTGAAACTTTGCAGGATTTTTATTTAGTCAATTATCTATTAGTTTATCACAAAAAATTAGAAGGAAATGCATTGCATGATAGATATAACTGATTTAAGTTGATTATATAGCGAGCTGGCAAATATTGTGAGTGTAGAAAATATGTAGTAATTAATGAAAGAAGTTTAAACACACCATAATCATTTTTATATAATGAATTTGTACAATATTTTACACTTTATACATTGTATGGTAAGATACATGAGTGACTTAGCAAGGTCTAAAATATCGATGATATCGGAAATATCGGTAGTCCAAGAAAATATCGGTAGTCCAAAAACACAGAAATTTCGATGGAAATATCAGGATATTATGGATATTTTCACCGATCAAACCTGGAAACAGACACGTGTTAAAAAATTAAGACCTTAGTGCAATGAAATGGTTCGTCAAGCATATGCCTTATTTTCTTTATTAGGCCGAGAGTTCCTCCATTTGCCGCAAATTCATTTCATCAATTCTAATATCTCACTCTCCAAAATTCCTCCATTGCAAACTCGCTTCCCTCCTTGGCTCTCACACTTCCATCTCTTTCTACATCTCTCTAACTCTCATACTCCTACGAAGGTGTGATATTTATCTATTTCGAAGTTGTGAGTCCTATGTTTGAATTTGTGATCATATTGTGTGTCGAATTGTGGTTTTGTAAATTATAATGTCAATGTGTAATTTATATTGTGCATTTGTATGTTTTATGTTTTACGAGAATTTGGGTTGAAAACTAAATTGGGGAGATTGGTGAGGGAAGAGTTTAGGAGGTCGGGGGGGGGGACGAGAATTTGGGTTGAAAACTAAATTGGGGAGATTGGTGAGGGAAGAGTTTAGGAGGTCGGGGGGGGGGGGGTACGGGGAGGATGGGTGAGTCGGGAATGGATGGGTTTGAGGGAGGGTGAGAGGGACTAATACAAACTTTTAGAAAATATTAATTATAGTTTTTAGATATGGTATAAA